CACGCACGGTAGACTGTTTTGTGTTATTTTTTTCTACCACAACATGATAAACTATTTAATCCCTTGATAATACAAAGTGTACGTCGCGTGCTAATAATGTCATAATTAATGTACAGTGCAAAGTGCCGCGCATTGTATTCTAATTGTATATTCTGATTTTACATACTTAATTATACTAATAATTGTGTTTTGCAGGTATTGTGTGTGCCAAATAAAAGGAGCAGCAAAAGAAGCAGGGAAATAGAAGAAGGCTAGAGAAGTATCGGATGATGATGGGACAACTATGAAGTGAGCATTTTATTATTTGTTTGATATATTTATTGTTTGTAGAATTGTTTGCACGATATTGCGTTAAATTATTACTGCATAATGTAATATAACATTTTATTGTTAGCTTCGAATAGAAAATATTTTAGGAAATATTTAAAATATTTCAGAGTATTCCTAGAAGGTTTAATATTGGTGGAAATATACATGAAATATTCCAACATGTTTATGATTGAATGTAATGAGAATTAAATTTTTATTTATAAAATTTTATAAAAATTAATGTTTAGCAAGTTTTCTTTCTCTCTAATAATAATAATAACAATAATAATAATACTTTTAGAATGAATCTCACTCTTAAAGAGTGAAAATTGAGCTATTTTTTTCTCAAAATTGGCTCAATTTTTACTCTTTAGAGTGAAATTCCACTCCAAAAAATTTAGAATTTGAAAAACGTGTCATGTAGTATTATTTTATTATGTAGTATTATTTTATTTATTATATTGTATAAAACTTTATTATAATTTAAGTATATTTGTATTTTACAGACCAGCATCTGTTACAACTTCGCTGCTTCGCATTATACTGGTTAGTCTTAAATTATTTTTTATCTTAATTACAACACCTACCTGTCCAATAGAGCCAGTTTTGTTCGAATTTGAGACCGTCATCGCCCTCGAAAACTTTAAAAATTGATACTATGTAGCCGGTGGATGGAATAGGCGGTCTTCCACCGGGTGGTTCGAGCGGCGGTCTCGCAATGGTCGCTACCTCGTTGAACAGATCTAACGTGTGACTGGCAGCGTATCTGAGATCTCGAGGGTCGAATTTACGTAGAGCCGCACATTGCACTTCATTGTAAAAATCTATGGGGTCTGTGCTGTGCTTGTTTATAAGATAATACGTGATAAATGGGAAATCCGCTGAAACACACGGAAATTCGGCTAAACGATCTTAAAAAATATTTGTCGTCGTTATCTCGCTGTCTTTAAATGACAGATAATCTGATTTTACGTACCGTTCTTCTCCATATTCGTAAGTAAAATACTTTGCGAAGCAGAGGGTGCTATCTCGGCGACTAGTTCCGCGGCGGTGTCGCGTTGTAGAACTAAAGGACGAGACACTGGAGATTCCATTAGCGGGTCCAGAGGTTCCAGTGGTGTCATGAAATGCGCGAGAACACATTGCTTCGGGTCCTCAACCTCGAGAACCGACAGAGGACTCCCCGGTCTCTTCTTATCAGCGACAGGAGCATGCTTTGATAAACGATAAAAATTAAATTGGAGTACTCCACAAAGAAAGTGGAATAGAATACAGAATTACGCGTAATTTATAATCTATGTATACTCTATTAATTTTATTTTATTTTATTTTATTTTTGTAATTTTATTTATTGTAATCATTATTTGAAGTGAATCGTAATTATTATTTGAGTAAATAAAAAAGCAAAAATAGTTTTTAGCAGAAATTTTTTATATAAATTTGATCTCTTTTTACAAGTTTTAAGATATAATTTTGTATTACTGTTTTATTAAATAATAGCATTTTTCAGAATCATGACTTATTACGCTTTATTTTAGACATCTCTAGTCTCTTTTTCTAGTAGACATATTTTATCTATTTTTAGATGTTTGTACGGAAGGTCACAGCTCGTAAGAGTCTAAGGCCAATAGCTTGACTATTCTAATTTCAGCAAATGCTATGCTTGCTCAGAATTATTAGGTTAGCGTTTTTAATGAAAGAATGTTATTTATTTCACATGAG